GAAATAGTTGCTTTTCACAACTGTATTTCAGGGTGGTTTATTATGAAGCAACATAGAAGCGGAACTGTCATCATTATGTACCACAGTGCCTTTGTCCGCACTTCCTGTGAGGGGACCAAGTGTCTCCTCAATAGCTGTCCAAGCTGCGGAGGAAACAGAGGTATAGTACCCATCAGACTGTCTGGAGGGAGAAGGGGGGGTCTCAGGGTGGGGAGGGCAAACCAGCCCCAGAGAGGTCCCACCATCAAAGCCCCTTGTGGAAGGAGCTCCCTGGATGGCTCTGAACCCTACCACTCACTCCACTCCAGGTCCTGTTGCCCGTGGCCTTTTTACTCTCAGCAGGAAGATCTCCGAGAGAATTGGCCTCCTCTTTGGACCCCAGTATTTGGTCACATTCAGAGTTGACACCTTCTGAGGAGGAAAGGGAAGAGTATCTGTGAACCTGCCCCTCCCCCACTGCTGTAGCAGGGAGTGCATCCCTGGCTGGATTTTTGTGGCTTTGCTGCTCACTGGCTCTGTGATCCTGGGCAAGTGATTTTATCCCTTGAGCCTGAGTGTTCTGAGCTGTAAAATCGAGCAATGAGTGGTCTGTCCTAACACAGTTCCTGTGTAGGTTAAAAGAAATGAAACAGATTAAGGTGCCTGGTCTTAGTGGTGCTCCCTTAACATTTGCCCTTCTTTTGGGACTGTTGTTCTTGTTGAAAACCAGAGTCCAGACTAGTAACATCACTGTGAGCAGGAGAACATTTCTGCTTCAGCCCAAGTCACCCCGTGGGAACTGAGGCTCAGTTCAGCCAGAGCCTCACAGAAATCTAGCCTGGGACTGGTGCCGAGTCTGGGCTGCAGGACCCAAAAGTCCGTGCTTGTGCCCCAGCTCTACCTGTCTCCTCTGAGTAAGGCCTCAGAGGAGGCCTTAGCAGGAAGGTGCAGCTTAGCAAGAAGGACGGAAGCTGTTTCTGCAGGGCGGGTACCCAGTGCCAACGGGACAGGGAGACGGGAGTTGATTTCATGTCTTACCTCTGCCACCACTTGCTATAGCACTTGAAGCACCTTGGTGCCTGTGTTTCCCCAACTATACTTCATTTCATCAATACTTACCAAAGGTCTACTGACTCTGAGTCACTGTCCAGCACTGGCCCACAGGATGCTCCGAGTGGCCCCCCAGTCTTTTGCACATGCTGCTAAAAGCTATCCTCCTACCTCTGTCTTTCCCATCTTTTCCCTTGCTGAGTCCTTAGCACCTCTCAATCTTGGACGATGCAGTGCTTCCTTCCACAAGCCCTTCTGGGCCAGCCACCCCCTTCCCAGTGGATTGTTCTACACTGATTACCCAGTGTGTGGCGGCAGTGATGAAGGGGAGGAGCACCATGGCCTAATTTTCCCACCAAACCATGAACTTTGTGAGAACTGGCACAAAGGTTCCCAAAATATGGTTATGGGATCATGGCCTTTGTGAGACAAGAAATCCATTTTCTTCTTTCTGTCACTTAGCAGCAGGACCCAAAGCTTTTCTAAGCTTTGGCTTTCCCATCTAGCAAACGGGGACCGTGATACCCACGTTTCCCACCTCGATCTCAGAGCTTTCTAAACCCTGCTGGGTACTTATGAGCCATGACCTTACAGCAATGTAAGGCAGCAGAGGGGGTTAAATAGTGACCCCCCCCCATTCTTGTCCACTTGGAACCTCAAAATGTGACCTTATTTGGAAATAGGGTCTCTGCAGATATAACTCAGGTGCACATTAAGGTAATTTAGGGTGGGCCCTAACAATGACAAGTGTCCATGTAAGAAACAGAAAGGGACATGCTGAGACACAGGGAAGGCGGCCATGTGAAGACTGAGGCAGAGACTGGAGTGATGCGGCTATGAGCCAATGAATGCCAGGAGCTACCAGAAGCTGGGGGGCAAGGAAGGACCGTCTGGACGGCCTCTAGAGGGTGTGTGGCCTTGCCGACAACTCGATTTTGGACTCCTGACCCCTTGAACTGTGAGAGAGTAAACTTCTGTTGTTTTAAGGCACCCAGTTTCTGGATGTTTGGTACAGCAGCCCCAGTAAACGAATACAGGCAGCTGTGTTATTACCTGCATTTTATAGATGAGCAAACTGAGGCTGAGGCATGATGTCACCTCCCCAGGCCCACGCAGTCCCTGGGCTGCAGGGGCAGGACGTGAACCTTGTGTTCCAGGCTCCAGAGCCCTGTGCTCTTGGCATTACACCTCGGCTTGTTCCTGTGGTTGCCTGCCCACACACTTGCCCAGTCCAGTCTCAACCTGAAGAAGCAGGATTTTACTCGGCAATCCCACTGCTTCTAAAAATGCCACCCTCACTTCACCGAGCGGAGTGGGAGGCAGTCTAGAGAGTTTCATCTCTACCCTACCTGGTCCCCAAATTATTGCCTGAGCAACCGTTTTTCTTTCCTCCTTCCCTCCTTTCCTTCCCTCCCTTCCTCATTTTTAATAACCCTATAGATTCCTTAGTCTCAAGCTCAAGATCTCAGTTTAGCCCCCAGCCTCTCTCTGGTTTGACCTTCCACTTCTTCCCAAGCAAGCCCTTTTCCCAGGCCAATCTTCTTGGGGCAGCCCCTCACTTCCCTGCCTCCTTGTCTCCCCTCACCAGGTTCCCTTGGTCTAGAATGCCCCATCCCTCACAGTCAGTCACATGTGAAAAACCCACTCCATCCTCAAGCCCAAGTTCAAATTCCACCTCCTCCTGGAATATCTGGTCAACAACACTTCCCTCTGACCACATACATGCATTCATCAACATCCTGATTTGTGCCAAGCAAACAGAGGAGCCAGGGAATGCGACGACCTCACTGCCTCGTAAGTGAAGGGGAAGTCGTGACAGTTGTGGGGAGGTGGGGAGCAGTAACTCTTTACAGGACGGGGCAGGCTATGTCTAGGAGAGGGAGGCCAAGGGGCCAAAGCCTAGCCCACGTAAGGGCTAGGAGGCCAACAGCACATGTTCCAGGATGTGGGGAATTCTGCATCACAGGGGAGGAGGAGGAGGGAGGAGGCTGGCAGGGAAGCATAGGAGGAGATTAAAACCAAAGCCAGGTTATGAAGGATGCATGTAAGCTGGTCTGAGGTCTTAATCCTGTCCACCCAAGTATTCCAAAGTGTAACCCCGGCTCACCTACATCGGTCATCCAAGCATTTTGCTTAGTTGCAAATTCACAGGTACTCATGCAGCTCTGAGGATGGGGCCCAGGAGACTGGATTTTTAACAAGCTCCCTGGATAATTTCAATTCACCTTTAGTTAATTTCCACAGGAGAGGGTGGAGTCAGACAGAGGGGTTTGGAAGAAATACATCATGATCTGATGTGCTTTTTAGAAGAAACTGGTAGCACTATTCTCACATCTTCTGATTTTGGTGTCTGCCTCCACAGTGGTGATTTGGTGCCACCTACTCCGTAACACCTTCTTCCTAACAGAAACCAAGTTGGTGACAATGGGCTCAGGGAAGGGAGGCCCCACCCACAGTCTGAGGGGAGAACCCTGATTGGACCCCCTTTTCTGGCCCCTACTTTTCCAGACTCCTTTGCAGCAAGAAGTGGCCAACTGGCATGAAAAATTAAGGGTGACCATGCAAAGATCCATTCTTATGAGGGAGAAGGTCCATAGCATTCATCAGATTCTCAAGGGGGTACAAGACTAAAGAAAAGTAGAGACTGGAAGAGTCCAGGCCAGTCACATGGCAAGCCACAGCAGACCTGAGACTACCATTTATGTCCTGGATTCTCAGCCACTGCCTTACACTTCCTCCTCATGGGAAAGGCCATTTTCTTCAATGCACCTGACAGGCCTAGTCAGTAGGAACGCCATGGTTTCCAACAGGTGGAAGCTCTGCTGTCCTGCTAGCATCACCCATGGACACTGACAGAGAAAAACATGGAAGACCTGGAGGTACAAAGAGCCAACTCACTCCTAAACTGTTCCCACAAGGTCCCCACACAAGGTGAATGTGATAGATCCATGGCTCTCAGAGCGTAAACACATTTCTAGTAAGACACACTCTGCTCTTTGGTTCAAATTGTTGATTTAACCCTGGCTGGTGTGGCTCAGTGGACTGAGTGTCAGCCTGCTAACCACAAGGTCACTGGTTCGATTCCCAGTCAGGGCACATGCCTGGGTTGCGGGCCAGGTCCCCAGTTGGGGGCAGGCAAGAGACAACCAATGTATCTCTCGCACATCGATGTTTCTCTCCCTTTCTCCCTCCCTTCCCCTCTCTAAGAATAAATAAAATCTTTAAAAAAATTGTTGATTTATGTCATGCTCAAGTCTTCCATACGTTTCCACAGGCACCACTGGACCTTGCTGGCCTGGGAAGGGTCAACTCCAGAAGCAAATGAGAGATTAATTGAACACAACAGCAAAATATGAAAATTAATCGAGATATTTAATAGACAGTGCAAACCATAATTTTATCTGAATATAAATGTATGCACATGTTTCCAATGAGTTTTCTATCAGTTATCACAAACAGCAACAAGGACCTTAGAGCTATGTTAGAAAAACATATAGCTGGAATTTAACTCTAGCAATCTCACCTGCTCTCAAGAGAACATCATCCATTTCAAATCAGCGTCACAAACTCCAGAAGACCAGGGGAGTGGAAGTGAGGAGTGGGCTAAAATTGGAAACACAGGGGCCAGTACACAGGTGGACAGAAATACAGCTCTCAAGGAAACCAAGATCAGATGCATTATTACAGCTAAGGACAAGGAAAAGCCTATGGCTTTTAAAAAACGACTTTTCTGCCAGTACCATACAAGTCTTACAAAGAGATGTGCGACAAGTCAACTGACTTAAAAGAACAGAGGCTACATTTTCAGATCATTTCAACTTGCAAACGGTCGACCCTTTCCATTGAGGTTCAGCAGTGGAGTTAGCGTAGTCCAGAAGCTCAATGTTGGATTTGCAAATACAGTTTATTTTACAGAAATTCAACATTATAAACAGCAGGCACCTCCCACCCCATCCCCACCCCCACCCCCCGCCCGCCCCGCTGGGTGCAGACCATGCTATGCAGAGTGAGCAGTGATGCGGCCCTACTGCTTTGGAGGGGGATTCGAGAGCGATGGAACCTGCCTGCACCACGTCCTGCCGTCCCTGCACACACACACGCCTGCCCGCTTGCAGGCCACCAGAGTCTGTCTGGGTCCAGCTTGCACTGGACCAGTTAATTAACTGGTTCCAGTTAATTACATGGTTCCGGCCCAGTTCTCCAATTCCTTTATGTCTTCGTCTTCCTCTTCCTTCTTCTTGGCTGTGTGATGAGAGAAAAGGCAATTTAGGTGGGCTGGCTGCAGTCTTCTCAACACATTCTGGCTGCGGGCCAGGGCTGTGCTGCATGGCTGGTGTCTGCAGAAGCAGCCCTGCCCTTGCGGCCACCCCATCTTCAGGTTATCAGCAGACTGCTTCTGTGCCTAAAAGCTGCAACGTAAAACTCCAGATAACCAGACACACTTCCCCCAGTACCTCCACTCCGCCAGCATCAGGGCCAGACAAAACAAGGATTCTACACAGAGTCGAGATGCAGATGAGTCCCAGAGCACCCAAGGTCGGGGAGAGAAGGACAAATACCAGAAGGGATCAAATCCTCGCCCCACACCTCCCTGCCCCTTCAAGTGATTGAACCCTCTCCACCCCTGAAGGCAACTTGCTGGACAACGTTTGGACCTCCTTTGCTCCTTATCCCAGCTCCACTCGAGCAGCTGACTCAACCTAAGGAGCCATTTCCTCCTTAAAAATGGGAGAGTGAGGTGACTAGAGCCTGGTCACACTCTGCTCCCTGGGCGCTCTCTCTGTGCCCAGTTAAACTGCTTCACCTTTTCTAGTTCTGTGTGGAATACTTCTACCCTACTCAAGCGTAAAATAATGGGTGGGGTGGGGAGGAGCAGGCACATGGGAATGAAGGTTTTATAGAACCAGGTCTTTAAAAAAGCCAAGCTGTTTCCTTCCCACAGTGACTGCCTCTGAGGCGTGCACAGCACAGGATTCTAGACGGAGCAAAAGTGTCCCTGGAATTAAACTCTCACACCTTCTCCCAGTGCCTAGAAATTCCTCGTTTGGTGACACAGGGAAAATCATTCTGGACTACTGGTTCTCAACTGGGGGTAATTCTGCACCCCCCAAGGGGACACCTGGCAATCGCTGGAGACATTTTTGGTTGTCACAACTTGAGAAGGAGGTGCTACTGTCATCTTTTGGGTAGAGAGAGGCTAGGGGTGCTACTCAAGATCCACAGGACAAAGGACAGGCTGAAGTGGATCTGGCCATGTTAACAGTGCCAAGGTTAAGAAACCCTGTTCTGGAGAGAAGCTAGGAAAGGGCAGGTGACACTGTCTATGGGGCCGTTGCAACAGATGCCATCTGCTTCTCAGCCGAGTAACTGACCACAAAAACACCCGCCACACAGCGCCGAGGGTGTGTCTGACTCTGGATAAGAAGTACTCACTGGGTTTTGATGGTATAGCTATAGAGGGAACATTTGGTAGAGGGACTGTTTCAGGTCCACTGATTTCCAGCAAATTCTTATCTAGTTCCTCTTGTTCTAGTTCTTCTAATTCTGCCATGAGCTCATCCTGGTAAAGAGAAACACAAGAATGAGAGACACCGGGGGAATCCCAGCTCCCGCAGCAGTACCTCTTACCTGACGGTTGAGGGGACGCACACTCCCTCCGAGAAGGTCAGAGGGGAGACAGACTCCAGATCCACACTCTGTGACTCAAATATCCTAAGCTTGCTCTAGCAATACTGACATCTGTGTCTGCATCCTGCACTAGGCTGTGTGCATCTTAAGAAAACAGCTGCATCTTTTCATCCTATTTCTTTATCTCAGAACTGGGTGTACTAAGTGAATGTGCAGGAATGTTTGCTGAATTGAAATTAACTCGAGCCCTAGCTGGTGTGGCTTAATGGACTGAGTAATGGCCTGTGAACCAAAGGGTTGCGGGTTCAATTCCCAGTCTAGGACCCGTGGCTGGGTTGCAGGCTAGGTCCCCAGTGGGGGACACGTGAGAGGCAACCACACATTGATGTGGTTCTCTCCCTCTCTTTCTCCCTCCTTTCCCCTCTCTAAAATAAATACAATCTTTAAAAAAGAAGAAAAAGAAACTAACTTGATTGGTTTGTCAAATTCCACTCGGAAAACACTAAAACCCTGGCACTGGAAGCCAAGGGTAAGAGCCACAGGCTATGGTATCAGCTACACCCTGGGAATCAGATAGCACAAAAAATCAGATTCCTCGGAGAGGGCCTGACCTTCAGTGGACTCAAATCTAAGGCAGAATGAAGTACCTTCAACAGTGTCTGTTACTGTATTTTAAAAACCTAAGAGAGCCCTGGCTGGTGTAGCTCAGTGGATTGAGTGCGAGCTGCGAACCAAAGGGTCGCTGGTTTCATTCCCAGTCAGGGCACACACCTGGGTTGTGGGTTGGGTCCCCAGTTGGGGCACATGAGAGGCCACCACACATTGATTTCTCTCCTTCTCTTCCCTTCCCTCTAAAAATAAATAGATAAAATCTTAAAAATAAAAGAAAACAAAACAAAAACAAAAACCCCAAACCTAACTTGCTACAGCAGAAACTGGTAGGTGCCCAAGTTCCAGACGATTCCCTAAGGAGTCAGATGTAAATGCCCCTTCCTTGGCTTCACTTTTACCTCATGTCACAGTCGTTTGAAGGCAAATCCTGTAAACATCTCCAGGGCATGGTCACCTCAGCTGCCCCAGCTCTGAGCCTGGGGCCTACCACAGAAAGGTGCTGGGTAGCTACTTGTTGAAACCAATCACTGACCTACAGCCTGCTGCTGGGTTCCAACAAAGGTTCCTTTACTTTACCTAACCTTCTACCCTGAAAAGTAAAAACCACCCTCAAATTCAAGAATTGGGAGGGTTAGCACCCTGCCCTGTAAGTGCAAATCTCTGGAGGGGTGAGAACTAGTGATTTCCAAACCACACACTGCCTGCCAGAGAGCCTGCAACAGCAGACCAAAAGGCAGCCAGTGTCATTTGTGAAGCATGCGTGACCTGCATGAAAACACTCACCTCATCAAATTCTTCTCCAAACCCTACAGGTTTTGAAATAGCTGTTGAAATCTCCTCTGCGAGTTCTTGCTGGTCAGCAATGTCCTGCATTAACTCATCAACTTTATCGATGTCCCTTTAAATGAAACGGACAGATGTCATATCGATGATTAGTCTGTGAGAGATAATTACTCTCTGTGAGGAATTACTTTTTTGTCTTTATTCTCCTCCTCCTCCCCTTTGAAACAGAGAATCAAGAGAATAGACTTAGTGTCCTTAGATATCACCTAGTCTAACACCCTAAGGAAATAAGGCTTATTAGCCAAGTTAGGGGACACAGTCATGGTTTCACGGTCATGCAAGCCAGTAAACATGTCAGATGAGACCACAGGACTTGAAGTCCTGGGCCAACAGCCCCTCTTCAAGCTCACAGGAAACTCTGTACAGGGGGATGTGCTCTGTGTGTTGCAGCGGAGGCAATGACTCACACAATCACAAATCGTACCACACAGCCATGCCACTTGACAGGTCCTTCCCATCTCCTCATACCCACTCTGGCTCCTCCACTGGAAGACACAGAATCATTTTCTATGCACTGTCAATCTCAATCATATACGCCACACAACTGATCAACATAGTATGTACACATATACCTCGAAGTGTGCACAGAATTTACTGAGATGTGCTCTGTGCTAGGCATCTTGGAGAAACAGAGACGAAACAGACATGGACCACACTCAGGTGTTTAGTCCAACAAACACCCACCGTCAGACAACACCTCACTTATTTGAAGGCTACTTTTCCTGCAACATTTCTAGAGCAAAGATCAGCAAACGTCTGTAAAGGGCCAAAAAGTAACTATTTTAGAATTTGTGGGCCATTCTACCCCTGTCGCAAATAATCCTACTGTGGAGCATAAAAAAACAGCCATAGACAACATGAAAATCAATGGGCACAGCTGTGTTTTGATATTTACAAAAATAAGTGACAGGCCCATAGGTTGCACTTTGCCAGTTGCTGTTCTACAGCATGGCTGAGTGCCCAAAAGGAAGCAACCTGGACAGAACATGGGGTTCTAAGCACCCCCAAATGTATGCTGCCAAGTACAAGCACTAAAACAAATGCAGAATTTTGTTCATGGAAGAGGCCCTCGCTTGAAGCGTAGTGTTACCCTGGCCTTTAACTGCAATTGTAACAAGTCTAGTCTGATTCTCTATTTCTCAGGCCACTGTGTATGAGTAGCAGCCACATAAAGGAGGGGCTGCTGAAGTCAAGAACATTGTGAGTATGACAGTCAGCGCCTGAGAGCAAGAGGGAGGCAGAAACTCCCACCAAAGGCATCTGTAAGAATGGAGAGCTCCAAAGCCCTTGGACGTACCATTTTTCAGGGCCCCTGATAGCATCAGGAAAGAGTCATGGACTTTGGTTCTAATCCATGTTCTATCCAAGCTCATAAAGACACGACACAGTGCAAGTCACCTCCCCTGTTTGAGACATGGCTTTCCCACCTTGGTAATCAGAGGCCTGGGTGAGAGGACCTTTTAAGAGCCTTTCCTGCTTTAAACTCTATGCTTATCACAATAACTTTGAATTACTCAGAAAATATTGTTTCGTTCCATGAGATCTACTTCCAAAAGCAGTAAGGTAGACAATTCACTTTAGAGAAAGTTCCGAACAAGAATACAAATTACAACAAACTCAGGTGCTTGAGTGGGTAAGTCAAAGGGACTGCCCAAGGCCAAGGCCTGGATTCAAGGCATTCCAGGGCCAGCACTGCCCTGCCATTCAGCTGCACCCCCCCACCTCGGGGAGCAACATACATGTTGTCGTGGGCAGCTTTCATAGCCTTGGCAGCATAGCCCATGTTCTTGAGCACCTCGGTGTTGGTGTTGGCATTCTCCAAAGCCTCTCGCTGGAACTCGATGGTTGATAGTGTGCCGTCAATCTGCGCCAGCTGCTTCTCGTACCTCTTCTTGCGCTTCAGTGCCTGGAGGGCCGCTGCACGGGGGGAAAACAGGGTTTCAGAGAGTCCAGACACAGGGTAATAAATACCCTAGAGCTCACCTGAGTCTTCACTCTGATTTTAGTGGCTGTACCTTAGTTGTTCCTTCTACTATAACACAGAGCTACTAGAGCACGTTCGGTTTTCTGAGAAAACTACAAAATTCACAAGCAACCAAGCACACACGTACAAGTTCACATTCTCTGGTAACCACCCCCCACCCACACACACATCACAGCACAAAGAGGCACCCAGAGAAAGAATGTGCTTTGAGGTTGAACTGCCTTAGGTTCAAAACCCAGCTCACAGACTTAGGTAGCTTCACTGTGAGGAGTAAATGAGATAACGTATGTGAACACCTGGCATAACATTAAACAGTGGACACTGTTTAATTATGATAAAGCAAGTTTAAGATATCATTTTATGCCAGTTAAATTACACAAAAACTTTATACCTAGTAATGGATCAGTTGGGGATTAAGTGCTGTCTCACTGTACATAGCTGATAATTATAAATTGTTACAATGCTTTTGAAAAGTGACGTGGCAACACACAGCACCAACCATAACATTCCTGCCCTCTGTCCCAGTAATTTCCTTCCGGAAATGTATTCAACAAAAGCAGAAAGCCCCCTACAGCATTCTCTATCACAGAAAACAAGAGAATAAAGACAGAACTCCCTGCCAAGGGCAAATCTAGAGTCTGACCATTTGGTCAGGTCAGCGTCACCATCTGCCTTGGCTGCTGGCATGTCAAGGCTGTAGAGGTCATCTTGTTTTAAGGTCCAGTCAGGACACGGTGAAGCTATGGCAGAGCAGGGGCCAAACCATGCTTCCCTACTCACAACGCAGCCTTCTTCCTCCTACTGTCTCAAGTCCCTCTTTACACTAAAAACTATCTTTAGTACTGGCTAGTGTGGCTCAGTTGGTTGGCGCATCGTCCCGTAAACTAAAAGGTCACAGGTTCAATCCCCAGTCAGGGCACATGCCTAGGTTTCCAGTTCAGTCCCCAGTCGGGGCATGTACAAGAGGCAACCAATCAATGTTTCTCACATTGATGTTTCTCTCCCTCTCTCGCCCTCTCTCCCTCCGTCCCTCCCTTCCCCTCTCTCTAAAAGTCAATAAACATGTCCTTGGGTGAGGGTTAAAAAAAAGACAAAGATCTTTAACACACATCTTAGATGGGCATCAAATCCAGGAGAGGGCTCAGCACAGACTCGAGCAGAATGAGTGGGCGGCCCAGCCCCTGCCTTGGCCTGACAGCACTGGCCGCACATACAGACACACACTGCTCCCCATGTCTCTGGGCTCCAGACCAGAGCCACCTCCTGCAGGCTGTGGGTGACCGTCAACCACCTCCCCCGCAGGGCTGTGGCTTCTCCATATTCACATGAATAGGTTCCATGCTCCTCAAAAACCAGTTGCCAAGGGAAAACAAGCTTGGCTTGCATGTAAGCAGTCCATGGTTCCTTCAAAAGCAGCAGATAAAACCACCAGGAAAACTTCTCCAGCCAAAGAAGCTAAACAGAAATTGTAAAAACTCTAAAGAACAATGAAATGTCCCTCATTAGAAGCTGAAAAGTCATTCTACCTGCTATCTGATTCTGGTGTGAATGGCCTATGACTTCAAGAAATCCAACTTGCGGTCACACCCAGGGCCGCAAGACGGCTTTCTAAACACCTTCACCTGCTGCTAGTTCTAAGCCATGCCTGTATGTAAGTGCCCCACAGCATCAAGCCTTTAAGGTAGAAATAACCACCCTATTCAGCAGATGAGGAATCTGAGATTCAGAGAGGTCATGTAACCAGGGTCATCAGGTGGTAAGCAGCAGAAAGAGTGTTAAGCCAGGTGTGGCCCTCCAAAGCCCGTGGCCCGTCCTTCCAGCTGTGTGCCTCTCACTTAGTGAAAAAGGTAACATCTTGCCCTGGAGGGAGGGTCAGGGGGCCTATGGGAACACAGTAGATGGAAGTACAAACCCAACCATGTCATTTCTTTGCTTAAAAACCCTCAATAGCTCCCTCGGCCCATAGTACAGAGCCACTGTGTGGTTTAATGTTCCCTGCAAGAAGCCAAGGGACTGAAATCCTCCCCAAGCCAGGTCCTGGGAACGCCAGCACCAAGACTGAATCCCTTTGTCACTGACAATTGTGACAGAGGGAAGACATCCTGGGAGAGTCCTGGTAGATAAGTGCTCTGGGCCTGGGGCTGCTTGCTCCTGGCTTCCTTGGTGTGATCGTTGCTTTTCCATGGAAACCAACCCAAACACATCCCAATGAACAAGTGATTCTCAAGCCCTCTCAGGCCAATGTCCCATAGATGCCCCTTTCTCAGGTCCTCTTCAGCCATCCCCATCACCTACGGCATAGCTCAGCCTATAACAACTTATCCACCAGTCAAGATTCAACGAGGTGTTCCAAGAGCTTTCTGCTCCATAAGCAAGGCAGCTGCGGCAGTTCTGTCCACTTCCTCATTGAATCTTCCCGCATTCAGTCACGGGGAGAGGTCCCACATCCACACTAATAAGGAGACTGGGGACCAGAAAGGTGAAGCAGCTCATTCTAGTCACCCTGCCTTTAGGTGGGGAGGGGAAGGATCAACCACTGGTCTGTGTAAACCCCCAAGCCTCTGTCTGCTCTTCCCACACAGGCTCAGTGACTCTGGGACAGTTCTCAAGAACAAACAATTAAGATGACACACCTGCCTTGCTTTTCAATGTCCTGAATGTAGCAGGAACCAAATTTATTCTTTCCCTAAGCCTTAAAACATCATAGATTTAGCAATGTTTTAACCTTTTCTCTGATACATTTCACTGTATGCCAATCTTGCATTTGTCTGATCTCCACCCTATTTCTAAAATTACCCAAGCAATAAATGATCTGGGTCCTGGCTGGATAGCTCAATTGGTCAGAGTGTCATCCTGATATGCCAAGGTTATGGGTTCAATCCCAGGTCAGGGAACATACAAAAATCTACCACACGAATGCATAAGTGGAACAAATCAATATTTCTCTCCTTCCTTCCCTTCCTCTCTCTCTCTAAAATCAATTTATAAATAAATAATCAGGAAACAAATATCCAAACATATCAGGGAGCTAAGCAAGAGACTCCCCCCTCATGAATGAAATGTGTATATTACTGATTTTTATAGACCCACATCCAGCACAATGACTAGTCCACAGTAAGTGCTTATATATTAAGCTGAGTCTCCAATTTCATCTGATTTTTTAAAGTTTTTCATATAATCCTATGCAGGGCATCTCATGTGGGGTGCACCCATATTTTATGTCCTGTGTACCACCGATTCAAAGGAGAAATAAAGTCTCGTTGACACAGTGGCTAACGCAATCGTCACTTGGCAGGATTCCGTCCCCGCACTCCTGTTCCACAAAACAGGAATGTGTGCAAGTGCCTGCCCTCTCCATCCTTGCCATTCATTAGGTGCGCCCTCTCTGAGACCAGGAAAAGGTCCTGAGTAAGCAGAGCTGCCATCCAGGCTTCCCCCTCCCACCTGAAGAATCCACCCACAGTCTCTCACTCTCCTTGCAGTTAACTAACTCTCCAGGCGTCTGGCACAGTGAGCTGATTTGTTTACCCTAATCTAACACCTGTGCATATCTCTCGATTAACTGAGAACTCCAAAGAGAAAGGGTACACTATTAATTTTCCCCCTTCATAGCTGATTTATGAGTAAAGTAACGTTATAAATAGACATGGGGTCAGCATTTGGGCTCCAAGAATATGTGTAAATATATTCACAGCACTTGAACTACCATGTATCTTACAAAAATGTGGCGTATATGGTGAAGTGGCATATACAACTTAGGGTAAACTAAAAGAGTAAAATGCCACTCTTCTTGTGTACTGTTACACTTAAAGCAAAACACCCTCCATCCCAACCTTATTTCTGACCAACAAAATCTGCCTCTATATGTAGCCAAAGTCTAAAGGGCCAAGCCCAATGTTATAGTTCTCCAAATTCCTGATTGCTGGTTTAAAAAAAAAAAAAAAAAGTGTAGCTCAGTGGATTGACCACGGGCTGCGAACCAAAGTGTTGCAGGTTCGATTCCCAGTCAGGGTACATTCCTGGGTTGCAGGCCATGACCCCTAGCAACCGCACATTGATGTTTCTCTCTCTCTATCTCCCTCCCTTCCCTCTCTAAAAATAAATAAAATAAAATCTTAAAAACAAAACAAAACACCCAAGTACTAGATTCTCATCACAAGAAGAAAATTTCATAACTATGTGAGGTGACGGATGTTAACTGAACTTCTAATAATCATGTTGCAATACTACATACATATATCAAATCAATGTTAAATACTGAAAACTAGTGCAATATTATATGTCAATTATATCTCAATAAAACTGGGGAGGAGGGAGTAGGTTAACAAAGAGTTTATCTAAACCAAATATTCAAAGAGGGAGCATATAAAGAGATCCCTTTTCCGCCAAAGAATCTCAGTGTCATTCATAAGCAAAATGGCACTGAAAACTGAAATTTAACCCAGGCCAATAGACGTTTAAGAGGTTGCTTTTAGATGGGAAAAAAATAGTCCTTGGAATCTCCATATTTAATTATGCCTTTGCTGGTTCCAAGAGAGTAATTACAGCAGCAATTACAGAATCTAATAACCAGCTTTATTGGCTCTGAAAGCTGAGGCAAAAACAACTCCAACCATGTTGAAATAAACATTGGTCTCCAGACGGTTGCTTCATTAGACACTCTAAACAGCTATTTGGAGAAAAAAGTACAGAAGAGATACCCTAGGAATCAGAGACCCGTGATAAACTTTCACTGAGCACCAGAAACTCCTTCTGCAACGCATCTGTTAGTGACTGTACAGAAACCATTTTCAGAGAATGCATCAGTTCAATACAACTAGATAGGATGTTCCTCTCTTCTAGGCAAAGACAGACTTGACTTCTCTTTGAAGAGTTTCTGAGGAGTGCAAGTTTGCTTGCCCTGATCTGGGGGCATTCAGTTAGGGCCATTAGC